CTCTCTCTCTCACTCTAACTCACCCTTAATTCATTCAACATTCAAATTACTACTTTTTACACTCCATATCTTCAAAGGGAATCTTGCTTCTACAAGCCAATTATTTGGTCCCGTCTCTTGTTTTTCTCTTCTTTCATAAGCTAGCTCCTTGCCATTTTTCAATTTATTTTGAGGCTCCATCTGAAGCCATGACGGAGAGTAACAAAGGGGTGGAAGCTTCGGTACGTACCCAAGACTGATTGCTACTACGACTCCAACTCTGACTCCCATGTTACACACCCTTCTTCTTCTCTGTTGTATATGCGCTTATTGTCCTCAAGACCGTTTGGTTAAGCTTGTTGTGTTCTGACTGTGGAGAGCAAAGGCTTTCTTCTTGTTCTTGCTCTGATGAGATGACCTCCCACCGAAATTCGTGCACTGTTGAGGTGGGAAGCGTTTGGAAGGGTATCTTTTCTCATTGAGAATGAGAAGAATGAGAAGCATGAGACTCCGGTTCTTCAGCATTTGAATCCCAACAAGGCCAAAGATAAGGAGGAGGAGGTTGTGGTGTTGAGGAGGAGCAGCAGCAGCTGTGTTGAGATCAAGAGGCATGGTGGGTTTTGGAGAATTGGGAAGTTGTTTAGGAAGAAAAAGGAGAAGGATTGTGGGAGAAGTGTTGTTGGGTTTGATGATAGGAATGAGATGTGGATGGTGGATCAAGGGGGTGTGTCTAGGTCCAGGTCACTATGCAGCTTCAGAGGGGGAGGGCTATTTGGATCTGAGGATGGTGGGGATTCAGTGCTGTCAGGTGCCAGAAGCTCAATTTCTGCAGCAAGGAGTTCTGGGGTTAATGGGGGTTTGATGTTGGAATCTGGGAGAAGAAGTGGATACAGTGAAGCTGAGCCAAGAAGAAGTGGTTTTGATGGGGAGAGGAGGGATTTCTTGTTTGATTATGAAAGTGGCAATGATCTCAGTCTCAAGGGTGGTGGGAAGAAGATGGATGGCGATGCAGGGTTCTATGGGGCAATAGGCGTGTGTTTCACTGAGGGAGATTTATTTCAAAGGCATGGATGAGTCTAAAGCTTTATTGACTTGAAGCTTGATTTCTCAGCAGAATCCAAGCATGAGTTTTCTGCCTGCAAAGTGAGCCAACCCTTGGCGATGCCTTCTCTTCTTTTAGAGGTGGCAATTTCAGGGCACAATGAGGGGGAGGTTCTGAATGGGGGCAATGGTTAGGGGATGGAGTTTTAACCAATGGAGGGTCATGTAGAATCACTGTGAATGACAGAGGAATCAAAAGGGGAAGGAAAAGCATGAAGGGTTGGAGGTGGATTTTCAGATACCATTCAAATTGGGGAAGCTCAAGGAAAAGAGATGAACATTTTATGTTCAAAGCCTGATATAGTAAGTAGCATCATCAAATACATATGAAAAAAAAAGACATCTTCCTGGTAGCTTCATAAGGGTAGTCTTAGTCTCTGGTTTAAATTCTCTGTAGTTTGGTCATTAGCCATTATCTTTCATGTGTACTAATGTTTTTTCAGTAAATGAGGAAACTTCATACTTCTTGGGAAGGTCGTTGCTAAAGGAAAGTTCCTGGCAACATTACTAATAGTCATTAATTGTAAAAGAAAGAGCTAAAAACCAATCCTGCTCACAAAATTTTCAATGGAGAAAAGTATGCAGTAGGGAAACATAATAGATATATGATAGCACTCTCTACAACCTAAGTGGTTGCCAAATTTGACACTTGAGCTGTTGCTATCACATATCCATATGATGTATATCTCCAATGCATTTATTTAACCAACCCTTCACAGTGAGACCCATTACTGTGGCAACAACTCATCTTTAAAGGTAACTGATCTGCATTATTGAAAGAAAGGGCCAGGAAACTCAGATGTGGGGATTCTCTTTTGACTCCTTGTTGCAACTTTACTAATCTTTTGTATAAACACAAACAACTATTTGAATTATTTACTTGATTTTTTATATTATGTTTCTCTTCAATTTTCAAAATACATTAATATTAATATATTTTAAAACGTTTACTTAATAGCCAGTTGTTTTATAGTTATGGCATTGTTAGAAATTATTCATCATGAGAGGTAAATACTAATGTCCTTTTAAATCTTCAATTCACATAGCATAATTAATATATAGATATTTTATGTAGTTCAGATTTATGTGATATGAACTTAGTAATATGTACACATTTTAAAACAAGTATTTTTGTACGATTTCTTGCAATTCAAAACATTTTAAAGCTCAGTGTGTTTCTAGACAAATTAAAAATAGATCAATTAAAACTAATTACCACTAGCCATATTTTAAATTTTTGTAGGATTTATTAAAAACATATTCTTAATAATTTATTAAAAAAAATTAAAGAATAAATATGTTTTTTGTCTTGAAGTATTACGAAAAATTAAAAATTGTCCATGCTCAAAAATAATTTAGTCTTTGATTGTTTTCGTTGCATTTAGGGTTTTCTTTCCACAGACGGATGTGTTTTAAATTTTCAGCTTATTAAAAGTAACCCATCTTCACGCATATTCTAAAATTATTTCAATTTTTAAAATCTGTTCTAACTTTACCATAAAAATTCTAAAGGTAAATTTTAATTGATAAAAATTACCCATTGACCACTTTAAAAGGATACCGATTAAAAAATTGGTTACCCATAATCGATTCTGCAAAGAGTTAGAAAAAATGAAACTTCTTAAATTCTTTCTCAACTGGATTTTGAACGTGAATAATAATTTGCCAATGTTAGGTAAGTAAATAACATGATGAGGTATTCATTATTGAATTTAATTTTTATTTTTCTAATGTATTGAAAAAATAAAAGTCACGGGTTTCATAAGCAAGAGAATTTCAAGTGGTATTTGCTAAATCAAACCAAAGTCCTTGTCTTTACATATACTATCAACCATAGTTCTAAACAGAACACAGAAGATCCTGGTTTATTAATTATTAAAAAAGTTGACTAGGTATTGAAAGACAGCATGAATTGACCAAAACAAAACATACCTAACATTGGCAATTTTTTTAACAGCTTTTCTAATCTTAGGATATAATTTTTTAAAAATTTTATTCTACCATTTTGAATATTTTTATTTTGCTTTTTAAAAGTAAATTAATGGAACATTTTCAGTTAAATTTATTATCTTTAACCATGTTATTAATATAATATATTACATTAGTTATTTCTATCATGCATGCCTTTTATCAATAATCCAGTGTGATAGAATACACAATATTTGTTGGTAAAATTAAATGAAATTATCTGAGAAAAAGAATCATTAAATTAAATCACTTATCTTTTTTCTTCTTTTTTTTTAAAACATGGTACAATCTCTTCAAACTTGACATCTCAGCAGTCTACACTAATCCCCAAATCCTCCCTTTGCATCCTTTTAGGCAGAAACTTCCCAACAGCCAAAGCCAACAAGACTGACCAAAATGGACCCTTTCACGCCCCTACCCAGCAGGATAATTTATTGTCCAGTGGGTCCCACATCTTCAAAATTCCATATTTGCCAAAAGAAAAAAAAAAAGTATTTTTCTTCAGCAACTTGGTCAATGCAACACGTTTACTAAATTTGTTCATTGACCATATCAAAATGAAACTTCATCTCATACATATAAATAAGTAGATCTGTACATCCTTTAATTTCCACATTGAACAAGCTGTTCTTGGAAGGAAGAAAGAAACAGAGAATAATTGAGAAGAGAAGCAAGATTAGAGATAGAGAAGAGAATGTATGTGACTAGGCCTTTATCTCTGTTTAAGAAGTCTTCAGATGCTCTGTCATTGCCTCCACCAGAAGGTCCCAATTCTGGGATTTTGGTGATCCAAGATGAAGAGATGGAGCCAACCTCTTGTTTTGGGTTAGGAGAATTTCATGAGCTGAAGGAGTTGCCTTTCCCTCAAAATTTAAACCTTGAGTTGTTCTATAGATCAGGTATTTCACTCAATAGAACCACTCATTACCACCATGTCGCCTTCATCCCAGTTCCCAACCAGCCTCTGTCTTCCAACAAATACTATGTCATAAATCTAAATGGGAAGAAAAGAGGGTAAGCCTAAGCTTTCATTTCAATAAGCAAGTTAGATTTTCCTTTATGAGGGTGATTCCATTCTAATGCAAATTTGAGGATTGATCTTCTTGATATGTCTTATGTTAAGGATTATACTGATGTAATAATTTGCATTTGGTTGTGCAGGGAAGTGTATATTAACTCAAAGGATGAGGATTTGGACACATTCTGTTTCTACAATGCTGTAACTGATGTACCTCTGCATCAAATAGATGTGAATGACACATACCAGGAGTTTGAGATATATCCTAGGAGAAGTAAAGTTACTTTCAGGAGTGGTTTTTCAGCTAAATCTGTTGCCCCAGATGGATACCCTCCAAGATTTTTGAGCAGAAGGTGGAAAGTGAGTGCTTCAAGTGCTTCAAGTGATTCAAGTATAAGCGAAGCATTAGGGGTGAATGAGGCCCTCCGTGCCAGCAAGCCAGAATTCAAATTCTCATTAGGAAAAAAGAGTTCAGACAGCGTTGCTGTGGGAAAATGGTACTGCCCCTTCATGTTTATCAAGGAAGGAACTCACAGAACATTGAAGGAAGAAATGAGAAAGTCAATGTTTTATGAAATGACACTGGAGCAGAAATGGGAGAAAATATTTTCATGCAAGAACCAGAATGAAGTGGAAAAGACTGTAGTTGTGAATGCTGTGGTTCAAAAGGAAGTGGTTGTAATTGGTGGCTGGGAAGCTGTGATCGATGAAATGGATATTGCTGAAGGTTTTAGGTGGTTCCATAGTTTGAACAATGTGGGAGAAAAGAGAAGTGTGGGATTGAACAGTGCAGTGGTTGAGAGAATGAAGTGGGAGCAGGAAAGAGCAGGGTGGAATGGAGGAAAAGAGAAGGAAATTAGAGTGAAGAAAGTGGAAGAATTTAAGGGGACTAAAAAGTGGAAGGAATTTGGTTGTTATGTGTTGGTGGAGACTTTTGTACTAAAAGCATTGGATGGAACCACATTACTCACCTATTCTTTCAAACACCATGATGAACTTAGGAGTAAATGGGAATGAAAACTTGTTATTGGTTTCATTTCAAACAGCATGCCAAACTCACCCATATCTGAGTAGAATGACTGCTCTTGTATGCTGTCAATTTTTGTGAGATTTTGTTCACTAAGTTTGTTCATTCTTTAGTTTCATTGTAATCATTTCGATATTGCTTACAGATTGTAAGGATAAACCATAATATTTTCTCCATATACTCGATCATCTATTGAATCATGTGCTTCCTAGAGNATAGATATATGATAGCACTCTCTACAACCTAAGTGGTTGCCAAATTTGACACTTGAGCTGTTGCTATCACATATCCATATGATGTATATCTCCAATGCATTTATTTAACCAACCCTTCACAGTGAGACCCATTACTGTGGCAACAACTCATCTTTAAAGGTAACTGATCTGCATTATTGAAAGAAAGGGCCAGGAAACTCAGATGTGGGGATTCTCTTTTGACTCCTTGTTGCAACTTTACTAATCTTTTGTATAAACACAAACAACTATTTGAATTATTTACTTGATTTTTTATATTATGTTTCTCTTCAATTTTCAAAATACATTAATATTAATATATTTTAAAACGTTTACTTAATAGCCAGTTGTTTTATAGTTATGGCATTGTTAGAAATTATTCATCATGAGAGGTAAATACTAATGTCCTTTTAAATCTTCAATTCACATAGCATAATTAATATATAGATATTTTATGTAGTTCAGATTTATGTGATATGAACTTAGTAATATGTACACATTTTAAAACAAGTATTTTTGTACGATTTCTTGCAATTCAAAACATTTTAAAGCTCAGTGTGTTTCTAGACAAATTAAAAATAGATCAATTAAAACTAATTACCACTAGCCATATTTTAAATTTTTGTAGGATTTATTAAAAACATATTCTTAATAATTTATTAAAAAAAATTAAAGAATAAATATGTTTTTTGTCTTGAAGTATTACGAAAAATTAAAAATTGTCCATGCTCAAAAATAATTTAGTCTTTGATTGTTTTCGTTGCATTTAGGGTTTTCTTTCCACAGACGGATGTGTTTTAAATTTTCAGCTTATTAAAAGTAACCCATCTTCACGCATATTCTAAAATTATTTCAATTTTTAAAATCTGTTCTAACTTTACCATAAAAATTCTAAAGGTAAATTTTAATTGATAAAAATTACCCATTGACCACTTTAAAAGGATACCGATTAAAAAATTGGTTACCCATAATCGATTCTGCAAAGAGTTAGAAAAAATGAAACTTCTTAAATTCTTTCTCAACTGGATTTTGAACGTGAATAATAATTTGCCAATGTTAGGTAAGTAAATAACAT